CCCCTATTAATTTATTTCTTTTATTTGAGTTAACGCAATGTTACATTCGTTTCAGATGTACAACATAGTGATTCAGCAACTCTGTAAGTTATGCTGTGCCCATCAGAAGTGTAGCTACCATCTGTCACCACATAACACTATTGCAGTACCATTGACTATATTCTGTATACTGTATTTTTTCCCTTTATTTTATCTATTACAGGTGTTGGGTTTGTGGTTACCATGAGGTTCATATATAACATTCTAAGTATAAAGCAGTGTATATTAGATGATGGTCATTTAAGTTTGAACACATTCTAAAAGAACTTCTTTTTCACACCCCCTCCATGGTTTATGTATATGTTGCCATGTATTACATCTTTTTATTGATAATTTCCCTACATCTAATTATGGCCTTTTCTTTTCCACTTAAAGAAGTCCCTTTAGGATTTCTTATAAGGCCAGTTTAGTGGTGATGAACTCCTTTACCTTTTGTTTGTGAACTCTCTCTTCAATTCTGAATGATAATCTTGCTGGGTATTCTTGATTGTAGGTTTTTTTCCTTTCAGCACTGTGAATGTATCATGCCACACTCTTCTGGCCTGCAAAGTTTCTGCCAAAAAATCAGCTGATAGCCTTATGTGGTTTTTCTTTTATGTAACTTTTTGTTTCTCTCTTGCTTTTACACTTTTCTCTTTAATCTTTGACCATTTTAATTTTGTGTGTGGACCTTCTTGAGTTCATCTTGTTAAGGGGCTCTGTGTGCTTCCTGAATCTGGGTGTTTGTTTCCTTCCTTGGGGAAGTTTTCAGCTATTTCTTCAAATTTTCTGCCCCTTTCTCTTTTCTGTTTCTGGGACCTCTATAATATGAATGTTCACTTGATATTGTCTAACAGATCCCTTAACTTATCCTCATTTTTAAAAATTATTTATTTTTGCTGGGTGCTGTCCATTACCCCACCTTCCAGATCATTGATCTGTTCTTCTGCATCCATTAATCAGCTGTTGATTCCCTCTAATGTATTTTTCATTTCAGTTGTTGTATTTTTCAACTCTGGTTCTTTGTGGTTTCCAGTTTTTTGTTGAAGTTCTTAGAGTTTTTTCATCCTTCAGTCCAGCAAGCATTTTTAAGATTACTTTCAACTCTTCATCATGCATATTACCTCCATTTCATTAAGTTCTTATTTTGAAGTTTTGTTTTGTTTTTTGATTTGGAGCATATTCCCTTGTTTCCCCATTTTGCTTGACTTTGTGTTTGTTTCCATGAGTGAGGCAGAACTGCTGCTAATCCCAAAGTTGAAGGAATGGTCTTGGTGTGTGGTTGTCCCCTGTGTATGTAGATAGTACATGCCCGGTGATTTTTGTTGACTGGCTGGAGCTGTGGCTGGCATGCGCTATAGGTTGCAGGGGACCCTGTAGTGGGGTCACCTTGGTGGGATGGCTGGAGTTTAAGTGGGTGTGGGCTGGGGTATTTCTGAGTCTCTTTGCAGAGGGTACCATGGCAGAACAGATGAAGCTAAAGTGGGTGCAAGCCAGGGGTGGTCCTGGGGTTCTCCATGCATAGGGCACCCTGGCAGGATGGCTGAAACCAAAGTGGGTGTAAATTGGGGTATTCTGGCATGCACAGAAGATGCCCTGGTTGGGGCAGCTAGAACTGCAGTGGGTTGCTGGCTGAGGAGATCCCTGGGTGCTTCGTGCAGGGGACAACCTGGCAGTCAGCTGTAGTTGAAAGGGTTGGGGCATTCACAGGGCTCTTTGCACAGATGGTACCCTGGAAGGACAGCTGAAGTGAGTGCAAGCCAGGTTGTCCTGGCAGGGAAGCTGGGGGATGGCCTAGAAAGCTGTCTGAAGCCAAAGTGGTGCAGGCCTGGAGTGTTCGGAGGTGCTTTGTGGAGCTGTAGTGAGCACTGACCAGGGCTGTCCTCGTGTGCACCACCATAGGGCTGCCTTGGTGGGACAGCTGGGACTGGTGTGCTTTGGGGGCTCAGAGCTCACTGAGGTGGTAGGCTGATAGGGCACCTGGGCCTTGCTCCCATCTATGCTGTCAAGGGGGACATAAACTGTGGCATTCACTGGACCCTCCAACCCAGAGATAGTTAGCATGGTTCAAGGGCTATTTCCTTTATATTCTGGTGGATCTTTTAAGCCATAGCTTTTATTTTCTGTGGCCCAACATAGATGAATCTGTTCCTGGTACCTCATTACTATCCTCTGCACTGCAGTTGGCAGCAGCGAGGGTGGGGTCACCCTTTGTTACCACCTCTCAGTCTCTCTCGGTGGTTCTCTAGGTGGTCTGTGTTGTACAGCAGCTGTTCAGTGAGCTCTCAGTTGTTCTTCAGGAGGAATTGCCTATAAATAGGTGTAGATTTGGTGTGCCCATGAGGGGAGTTCAGGATCTTCCTGTGTCACCATTTTAGACTGGAACACTCCCTAGTTCACTGTTTTTAAATTTTTATAGGCTAATATATATAGCTAGGACTACATGGGGGCAATATTAGACCCCAAAATGGATTAAGCAAGCTGTGAATAGCATTTTCTAGGTTCAAAAG